CTCTCAATGACCTAATACTAGACTTCCTAACCTTCTGTAAAATTTAATGTAAGTTATATTTATTGATTAAGTATTTCGAAGTTTAAAAGTAAGAATATTTTATTTAAATATACTCCATTTTAAGATTTCCTCCTGCTTTTTGTTTTACCATTATTCATTGCATTTAATTTCTGTAAGCGTGCATTTTGCTCTTTTAAATGAGTGAAAATATGTCGACGCTATGCTCTTAAAATTGCAATCCTTTTTTTTTTCTTTCAGAAAAAAGCAGCGTCATAATGCTACAGGATAGATAAATTATGCATTTAAATGATTTTATGCTTCTGATGTATTTGTTCATGCTTTTACATCTTTCCTTCTTGGTTGACACAAGACAAATATTACATAGCCTAAAAATATTTATATTTTATTTATAACACCTACGTGCAACTGTTTTTCGTGATGGTTTTTAAAAGCAGGGGTTTTGTCTCAAAGTTATGCTTTTATACAGGATAGATCTAAAATGGATACGGTTGAATTATAAATATGCTGAATACTGATCTCTTCATTTAAATGTTATCAATGAAACCGTGTACAAGACCTATATTTCACTCCTCAAAGAGGTCTTTGGCCTTCAAAATTTAGAGCCACAGTGCTTTTTCTTATACATTTTAAAGAGTTTTCTGTGTTATCTTGATTCTCTTCGAATCGGAAAAAAGAAACGAGCAATTGAAATTTAAAAAAAAAAAGATTAAAGTGCATCTTTGTCTTGTTTCGTCTAAATTGCTGTCGACACATATTTTGATAGTTTAAGGTTCGGGGGTGAATGTTTCCCTTTCAATTAGATGCTGAAAGTAGGTCGATTTGATAAGAATTAAATCATTTGAAATAAATACCAGTGAGCCGTTTCACTGTGAAAAGATCGTTGATAAATAAGGAATGTACCTATTCTACAAAGAGTTGGTAAATATCTTCGAATTCTTTTTCCATGTGGATTTGACGTCATCAAAGATAAATAGGACTTTCAACAATGTGAAGTAACCATGCTATAAAAAATGTAATTGATATGTTCTTTACTGTCAAATGATAATTGAAACTTGGATATTTAGATATTTCATCATTCAAAGTTGCTGAGTAAAAACCAAATGAATTGGTTTTGCCACTGATAAACTGTTGATATTACACTTAAACAAGACAGAATAAAACATAATTCACTTCCATCTCTGACAACGGTTTCCCATAGCGTTTTGTTTTGACCCACTAAATTCAAAGGCGATTTTTCGCTTCGTTGGTGGTACCATATGATGTATATAACATGTATAAAATTACAAGATATAACACTTTGCTTATGCAAGTGGCTTACTGGACATAGATTACATATATTTGTACTTCTTCATGGAAATTAATTTTTTTTATGTGAATACCTGTAAAAGAAATTCCGCATACGACCTTTTCCCAGTTTTATTTTTCTTCAGCCCCTTAGATATAAAATTAACATTTTTGTTACACAATTTTAGAGCTTGGCTGCAATAGTAGAAGCACTGAGGGGAATTTGAAATAAAGTTAAGGTTTTACGACAATTGTATTTATCCTCTCATAATATAATGCTGCTGAATTAAATCGACATAGGACACACTAGTGATGTTGGGTTTTCGTAATCTTACGATCAGTTTTGATCTTAAGGAAAACTATAGTATAAAGTTCTTTTCACAAAAATACTTAAGAGAATAAGTGTACTCTTGAAATTGACTAATGATTTATAGTAAGAGAAATCTCAAGATGGATTGTAAGATTTTCTTTTATGGAAAGGTCAGCTAAGATCTAGTCATGTCAGTTGCAGAAAGCATTGAACTATTAAGTGTTGAATGTAGATCTCTCGTTTGTGTATAGTACAATGGCTATATGATCACAAGCAGATATGTGTTGACTTTCTCTAAAAAAAACACAACTTTACAACTTCCTGTGCTATGTTTAGTGACCATGATCTGGAGATTTATCTTGAATTAATTTCACAAAAGGAGTGGAAATGCACGAGAGTTTTGACAGTTTTTCTACTAGTAATGTTCTTCACTTTGTGAAAATGTATTTCTTACATAGTTTTTGCGTAAGATTTGATACGAACATAAGGATTTTTTATGAAAAGTAAGGTCAGCATATTATAGACATGGAAAATTTATTCAAGACGCTCTTAAAATTAAATCACATTAAAATAATGAGTTTCAAAAAAAAAAAAAAAATAGAAATTTATTTTCAATTAACTAGAAATAATTTTCCTTTGTCTTTTCGATGTTGAAAACCAATTATATTTTCTTGGTGTGTTAGAAGCTATATCTACGTCTTTTTCACACCAATCCTAAGTATTTTATCATCAGGTCCAATGTTCCTTGAATTCAATAATCATAACTCATTCTGTATCAGCTTTATCTTACGTCACAAAAAAACTATACTTACAGAATGATTCGACTATCAGAAAGATTTAGTTCAATTTATTTTTTTACGAACCTTGTATATGACAAACCTTTTGCACCACCTATCCAATCTACAGGTGAGTTTATTTGATATCCAAGGGAGTGAAGCTAAACATGAAAGACATCAAGTTTTTATATTAATCCGAAAACTTTAATCTCCGAAAACCTGCCCCTAAAGGTTTTGAATTTCTGTTTACCACTCTTGGCATACTATGTCGTGATGAATTGTATTTGAAACTTAAAACATTTCCAATACACAAACGTAGTAAGATACATTATCTTGTGTTGATATTCTTGTCTTCATTACAAAAAAATACAGTCATATAAAACCTGCTGCCTCAATCAAAGCATTATCAATTAAGTAATGCGTTTTATTCAAGCACGGTTTCTGAAATAAGGAAATCAAATATGAACTTGTCTGCTACGGTTTCAATTGGTCACTAATTTATGAGAACATCATATAAAATCTTGAATTGGCAATGTTATGTATTTAGACAGTTGATATCCCCAAAAGCATTTTAGATCAAATAATGTTAAGTAATAATCAATCATCTACATGAAGGTCCTATGAAAATTAATTGAATAAGTATATCAAATAATATCTTTTTTCTTACCGTACACTAACCTGTGAACATACACTGGTAAAATCGTTCTATTGACAAGCGTAGTAATTCTTCGCAAGTGAAAGACTGTCAGAAGCGGATTTAGATGAATGCTTTATCATTAAATGAAAACAATTAGTTGTTACACGTGTTATGCGTGGGGATTACTTTTCTTTTCTAAATATTATTGTAACGAAGAGATTATGTCTTGGAGGATATTAAACGAGGAACTGCAAAAATACCTTTAGATGAAAAGGTGACGACCAGGTGAGAGCATCATTTACGAGGAGTAGGTGTTTGAAAATTTCTTATTGACACAAGTGGTTCTATCATATAAAATCGTGATGTCAAGTGTGAAATTTCTCGTCATTTTGCAAGTGATTGCTTGTTAATATCTAAGAGTTGACAACTTACGTTCACTTATTTTATGACTATTAAATTTGGAATCATCATAATTTAGATACAAATTACAAATGAATTTCTTGCTAGTACAGACAAGTAAAAGATACTTTTTTGCTGGACAACTAACATTTCTGGGTGTTAAAAAACCTAATAAAGACTGTAAAAAGATATTTTACAACTGTTGATCTACAATTCTTTCTTAAACATATCTTGTTATTGAAGCTGATTTTGTTCTTTCTTTCTTTTTAAATCCCCAAAATATGGTAGGAAAATGAAAATGTTTTTCAGGATAATTGCATTATTAATTCTCAAAATGTTAACGTGAAGGTTCCACTTGAATAATCTATAGAATTGATATTTGTGAACTGAACAATATGCAAAAGCAAATATATCATTTCAGATACACAAAAATCAATCTCAACGTGTTCAGGAAGCATTTATAATGACATCAAAATACATATTTGACTTGGAACTCCTTTTTTTAATCAAACAGTAGTAATTAGTGACTGATATAATATAAGCTCAACGTTTATTTATGTTTAAGAAAAGACTTTCCTAGATTCTAGTGTCATTAAGATTGTGAACTTTATTATTTTTTTAATTAGTTTCGTATATTTTTAAAACCTGAAGAAAAGTTGCTTTATTCATGCAACTAATAACATATCAAAAGAATGGAAATATTGATGCATTTGTATGTCCAACCTTCGTTTGCAAAATATGGAATTAAACTACATGTAGAAGAAAAGGGAAAAGATCACTCTGTGTACAGTTGTCTTCTGATATTTGTTTCCTACTCAAAATACTTAACTTTTATGTTGGAATACTACATGTAACTATAAAATATCCCTTCGCTCTGGAGCAAAGAAAGAAAAGAACAATAGAATTGCTTCTAACATTCGGGGGGGGGGGGGGGTCATCGTTACAGAAAAGCACTTGCCATCAATTTGTATATTGCTAAACATGTTGCAAATTCACTTTGTTCAAACCAACCAAAATCATGTTTTGACAAATTTAAAGTGTATCGATAGACATACATAAAAAGATATATTCCATAAGAATTAAAAGCTCAAATACAGCACATAATATCTTTCACACATAAAGGGTCCTTTTTTGAAACCACTCCCTTTTTTCGAGTCAATTTATCATGGGAGGCATTGTTAAATTAAGTTTTATTAAGTTTTTTTTTTTTAAATTTATCTTATTGCACTATCACTTTTGCAGACTTTTTTGGTCATTGTCTTCGAATAGAAATTCAAGACAAAGTTTTACCTGTAATATATATGTGCATATATATTTCTTAATATGTATATAAAGAGAGACAGAGAGCTTATTCTCAAGAACTTACAAGGAAAGCTATACATTGACAAATAAAAAAGAATTGAAAATAATAATAATAAAATAATATACACAAATTAACATAGGGTACTTGACTTCTTGTGATAATGAAAAGTGATATTGATAATTGATAGTAATCAAATAAAAACCCACGAAAATGAAAAAAAAAGAAATTCATTGATCCGGAAAATCATACGATTTTTTTTATTTTACTCACCTGAAGACCGATCTTAGTCTGTTAAATAAAATTTTCCCTGTCAAGTTGGACTTGTTCAAAACATAAAACACTCCTGAAATTAAGTCTTCAAATGAGAGCTTCTATTTATTTTCTGTCTTTTATTTTCTGCTCAATTTGAATTCGCCCACTTGACACGCGTTGTCAATCCTGATTAAATTACACGCGCCAAGTTAACACAATGAACTAGTTCCCATCAGACCTCTTAATGCGTTTATTCTCTGTCAGCTCGAAGACAGGATCCAAGGTTTCCTTTAAACAAGCATCCAGAAGATGCAGACAAAATGACGTGTTGCTCTTCCTCTCCTTTTAAAACCAATAACAATTGTCTCTCACTGACTTACAGTCTCTATGAACTTGTAGACTTTTGAGTAGGTCTGATTGATTGAGCTTTTGCTAGGTTAAGGTCTGTGTTCCTGATAGATTAGTAACAGAATAATCGGTAATTAAGATGGTGTTGCGATTCTCTCTACAGGGTGTTTCACAAACAGCTACAGGTTTAATTTATCAACAATGTCAGGCTTTATCAAATCAGTTTCCGCTATTATTTATGTCCAACTTGCATAACATACAGAACGAATACAAATTTTGATTAAGGCTGATTTCATTACACGCTTCTCACGTTTTAAGAATGTAACCAAGATTGGAAGACATGCCTGGCAAAAAGCAAAAGAGGAACCTTGATTAATTTTGTCTTCTTGTTTGTCTGCTGGAGTTATGAATGTAAGGATGCTTACAATGCTCTAAAACTCCTATGTCCGTCTTTGAAATATATTTGCATAGCAAGAAAAAATTGATCTTACTCTTTAAGTTAATAATCCGTTTCTGGATTTGGCACAACAAATACAGTGTATATAGCTTTTTTACCTTTACCGTATGATAAAACGGTAAGGATAAATTAGGATATCATAATTTCATTTTTAAGGTCTGCTTTAAATGGGGTTCAAATAGGATATTGTGCAAAAACGCTAAAAATGCTTTTCTAACAACGCATTATCATGATTACACGCGTTACTGTGTCATGCTTACACGCTAACCCTTTCATCCAACAAACTTTCGTGCTTTAATACCCATTGTGGTGCCACCACTCCTAGAATTGTTGTGATATCGCGCATTACGAGCAGTCACACTCGACCCATTCAACGTTATGCTGTCACAATTACACTGCACTTTGCACACGACCCTATTAGGACCCCAATCAAGAACACTTATTCTAATGTTAATTTTGAATTTGGACTATAGACATATGCCTTTATGTTTGAAGTGAAGCTTACAAAGAGAATTCATTAAGCTCTTTTGTCGTATTGAATAAACTTTGACACATTGAACAGAAATCAATATATTTATAATATGTTATCCTTTTTCAATCCTTCTGAGCAATTAAGTAGAATGTTTTGCATATGATATTGAAGTCGTATACTTACAATCTTAAAAAAATATTATTCTTAATTCATGTAATCTTCACAAGATTATAAATGTTTGGTTATCACCTAGCCTTTTTGCTTGTAATATTGTAAATTGAAGACCGGTTTATGTTTTTTTCTGGTTTTTAATCTCTTTTGTTCTATAACTAAGTCAATAAAAATGATGTCACAGAAAATTTCTGATCAAAAGATTTCTCGAGAGAAATCAAATTTCTATATGAATTAGCGTTGGAATAGAAATACGCATTATTATTATAGTTGACTTTCTACAAGAAAGAGTCCCTTTCCTCCTTTCACCGTAGGGGTATATTTATGTGCAGTGTTACGTGTCTGTTATTGCTTTGCCTTTCAAAGGTCAGCACTACAAATTAATGCTACAGATATGTTCATGTATACTCAATAATCCTAGCCAGCTAATGTTAATATAGGCTTAAAGGCACGTTATGTTAAAACCTCACTGGTAATCCACGGCAATATAGCAGCTCTGTTTGTTTCTTTAAAATTATAAAGAAAATATTTTGAGGTGTAAAAAACGTAATTAAAATGACGAAAAAAAAGTTATTCATAAGAAAGATACAAAAAGCGTTTGGTTGAGAGACATACCAGCATCAAGGTAAAATTCCTTAAATTCTCAAATTAGTCTTCATTAAGACCTCAGTGCTCACACACACACACACACACACACACACACACACAGAGAGAGAGAGAGAGAGAGAGAGATGCTTTTGCTTCACTGTTTACTACTCCCATGTTAAGAGAGAGAGAGATGCTTTTGCTGTTCTGTTTATCACTTCTTTGTTGATTACCTGCGAGTGCTCATTAAAATACCGAATTTTTGCACCTGTTTTATATTGAATTGTCTTTAATTTTTAATGTACTTTAGTATTTTTGTCACTTTTTTTTTCAGAAGATACAATGTTCTTTATGTAAGGCATACGCTTTTTCTCTATCACCCGGTAGTTCATTTAATAATTCAACCCCATGAGTACTTTTGAAGGAATGGGAAGAAGAGAACAGAAAACTACATCATGAAAAAAGGAAAGGAAAATTTGACATTTGTCACATTTATTGTTATAGGGAGACAAAAGTATTACAGGCTGTACAGAAATGTGCCTCAAAAGACAGCTTTTCTCCTGAATACAGAATCTTGGAACCATTAATGGATTTTAATAGCCTTTTTTAAAATCATAAATGTACACGCTTGATACTATATCAAATTATTTGTTCAAATTAATTCAACAACGGAATTGAGATACCATTAGTTTTCCAGGTAATATCTAGAACATTCACAAAGAAAGCAGTCCCCCCCCCCCCCATTTATGTATTAGATATTATATGATTTACATTAGAAATTTCAATTATACCAGATAAAACTTACAACTGTGATAACTTTTATTTTGAATTAATAAGCTCAAAGTAATAACTTATTTTATTAAAACTTTAAATATATTTAAAAAAACAAATATAACTTCTCAACCAGTATCAAATTATAACAATTTTATGGATTCTTTCCTGCTATTCCTGAACATTATGCGCCTCTATCCAAGTATGGTGATTAGCGTTCTAGTACTGAGATTTTTCGTTCTTTTGTCCACATTTAACTGTTGTTTTTGGCAAAAGCCTTGCTTGATGGAAGACAGAAGCTTAGGTTCACAAAAAGATTTACTCAAATGATTTTTCTTCGAAGAGCGATAGAAAATTGAATCTTATGGTGCACTCCTTTTGAATTTGTTTGAAGATACTGCCAGTGCTTTGTCAGAGGGTCAAAATAGACCAAATCATAAAAACTTTAATTTTTAGAAACACTTTAATCAAGCTGTATTTTTTTTCAAAATCAATAACATCAAAACTTGCGACTTTTCAACTCAATATACAACCATTCCCCACGATAAATTAATATCCAGGCTTTTTGATATCATTGACGGCTGCTTTTTCAATAAAAATGGAACTCTTATAATTTACTTACCTTATCGTTGGTCATTTGCAAAATTATGTTGTTAAAAACATTCTGATTGTACACACAAGTACTCTAAAGTTGGTATTAAAAAGATGCTTGGGTTTCTGTTTGATAATATCTATATAGTTTTGGAGACCAGTACCCATGAGTACCATTTGCGCCCCGTTATTAGCAGACCTATATTTGTATTCCTATGAAACAGAATTTATTCAAAATCATGAGAAGAAGAAAACACTTGCTGTGGCCTTCAAGTCGACATTTAGAAATATCGACGACGTATTATCAATTAACTATAGTTATTTCCATTCATATGTCGACACAATATGTCCCAGTGACCTTGAAATAAAAGATACCATAGAGTCTGACACGTCTGTTTCATATTTGGATATTTTACTAGAAAATAAAGTTAATAGTAACCTAACAACTAAGCTTTATCATAAACATGATGACTTAAACTTTTCTCTAGTCAACTTCACTGACTTATGCAGCAATATACCATTATCACCTGCATATGGGGTGTATATCTCTCAGTTGATTCGATACGCCAGAGCATGCTCTACGTATGAACAATTTCTGAAACGAGGTCAGTTATTGACAAACAAATTGATGAAACAAGAATATCAACAGTCTCGTTTAAAGTCATCATTTCGTAAGTTCTATGATCGATACAACGAACTTGTCAGCAAATACAAACTATCATTAAATCAAATGCTGACTGACATTTTTCATACAAATTGTTAGGCCACCGAATTGTCGATGGAATTTTCCGTTATTTCCCGATCATGACAAGGAACACATGGCATGTGTGACCGGTCGGCAGGGAATGCTCACTCCTCCATGGCACCTGATCCCGCCTCTGATGTTAAGAGGTCCGCGTTTGCTCTGCTCCTGATTTGTATCGTTTAAATGGACTCTGAGGTTGAATACTGTTCGTTATCCCAATATATTTCATTCTACATTATATTCCTCAAAAATACAGATATTTTATTCTATCATATATATTTCTAAATTGTTTTGAAAAATCTTTGCATTCTTCAAGTGTAAGAATAAAAACCACATAGATTGGATTTCCACCATTATTCAACTTGTAATACAATACTTTTACTTTCTAGATTGAACTAATTCTAATCGGATTTTAAATTAAAATTTTTTTGCTTTCTACTTACGTGTGAAAAATTTGGAGGTTTTTAGAACAGCTACTTTTTTCTAATAGTGTTATCTATTGGTATTTTATCATTGCAAACAGATACTATCATAGGACAGTAATACCCGCACTAAGGTGTTTGTCTCTAAATGCACACTTCTTCATATTTGGGTAACCAAGGAAAAAGCCACAATAATTCTACAATTGACACAGTACACGTATTTGTCAAATCGAGCATAAAATGCTTAGGTTAACATGTGGCCAATGGGCCTCTTATGTAAATATTTCATATACTAAATTCATTACCAGTCTGAAATTACAGAATTTAATGAAAATTTTGGCCATAATTGGAACTTTTTAAATTTATTTTCAAAACAACAAATATACATGTATATATTAGTGCATGGCGTTTTTGATGAACTTGAAACATTAGATGCCAACTTTCAGAATTGATCAAATTGTCCAAACGTTTATTAGTATTTGGGTAGGCAAAATCCCTCCAAAATCCAAACCCGATCAGTTTTGTCAAAACCACCTCTCCCCACAAGTCGTAAGTTGTCTGTTTTTGGAAATAGATAGCACAAAGTTATGTTAAAACATCGTTTGTAATTATAACATAAAATTTGTACAAGTACCATATGTACACCTTTTTGAAAATTTCCGGACTCGCGCCTCACATTGGACTTGCGTCATCCTACGGGTACTAGTTTTACCATTATCATCATTTGATTGCACATGGTATACAGATTATTATATCAGTAGAAATTCATTCATTGTGTTTTTTAATTGGATCATATCTAATGAAGTTGACAGTACCTATGACATGCGATAAGTACAAATTTAGGTATAGAATGGGGTAATATGATCTGAAATGCAAATGGTTTGGTTAGGTTATAGCTTAAAAGGGATCAAAGATCATCGGATTCCACAAGCAAGTTATACATTGAAGCAATTAAAATCCCTGGGGGGTCATTCCCATTCCATGGTATG